GGGCCTCTAGGGGTGACATCACATATCAATAATAGGACCATGATAGGACCATGATGCCCACCTGAGCTGCAAAACCAGCAAGTTTTTATTAAGGATTTCAAAAGGGGGAGAGGGTGTACGAACAGGGAGTGGTCACAAAGATCACATGCTGCAAAGGGCAAAAAGGAGAACAAAGATCACAAGGCAAAGGGCAAAAGCAGAATTACTGATAAGGGCCTATGTTCAGCGGTGCACGTATTGTCTTGATAAACATCTTAAACAACAGAAAACAGGGTTCAAGAGCAGAGAACTGGTCTGACTTCAAATTTACCAGGGCAGGGTTTTTCCCCACCCTAGTAAGCCTGAGGGCGCTGCAGGAGACCAGGGTGTATCTCAGTCCTTATGTCAACCGCATAGGACAGATACTCCCAGAGTGGCCGTTTATAGACCTCCCCCCAGGAATGCAATTCTTTTCCTAGGGACTTAATAGTAATATTCCTTGCTAGGAAAAGAATTTAGTGATATCTCTCCTACTTACACGTCCATTATAGGCTCTCTGCCAGAAGAAAAATAAGGGTTTTTTTTCCTGACCCTGCAGGCAGTCAGACATTATGGTTGTCTTCCCATGTTCCGTTGCTGTTACTCTGTTCTTTTTCAAGGTGCACTGATTTCATATTGTTCAAACACACATGTTTTACAATCCGTTTGTACAGTTAACACAATCATCACAGTGATCCTGAGGTGATGTACATCCTCAGTTTATGAAGATAACAGGATTAAGAGATTAAGATAAAGACAGGCATAAGAAATTATGAAAGTATTATTTGGAAAGTGATAAATGTCCATATTAAAATGAAATCTTCACAATTTATGTTCCTCTGTCATGGCTCCAGCCAGTCCCTCTGTTCAGGGTCCCTGACTTCCTGCAACATTAAGTTTGCTCAGATGATATTGCAAGATCAGAAGTAGCAACTCTGAGAGCAGGATTTATGTATATCAGATAAATTAATGTATGATCATTAGTTCTATAAAAGCAGTTACCCAAGGTTTCACTTAAGTGTTATATTTGAAATAACTTTAGAGAGCTAGTTTTTAAATGTCAGGGACATGTATCCCATAAAATGAGATACTCCAGGAACTGATTTTTGTAAGTGTCAAAAGAAAAACTTATTTTTCATTTTAGAATCTATTATATTATCCAAAAAAGCAGATAGAATACTCCAGTCAACTGAATGCTTTTGGTTTATATTTCTATTCATAATATACCAAAATAGGATTAAAGAAGTGCCCCCAAGCACCTAGGTTGGCTCAGCTGTGGTCTGGAGTTTTTATTTTATAGGTTGAATTATTATATGTTGGGCATACTTATTAAGTGTGGCATGTGATTCCAGGTCACAAGTTAAGATTAAGAAAGAGCCGGCTTGTGCTTCCTGGCAACTTGGTATACTAAAATACTGCATATGGCTAAAGCGGGGTGGTGCCTCTTCAGTTCTGTAGAAATTAGCTGTTGGACATCTGTTTTGAACCCCTAGTGTGTGCTAGAATTATGTTTTCTCAAGGCATTACAGCTGAGGGCGTAATAAATCCTTGATGAGAATTTCATGCTCCTAAAACACTGCCGTATGGCTTGCTTTATATACCCCGGTCGGGTTTTCCCCTAATTTTTGCTTTTTGGGAAAGGCAGCTGTTGGATGTTCATAGATTGTACTTTAAGCCATTGGAATCCTGACTTGACTTACTTGAGATCCAAATCCCAGAGTGGCAAGCCCAGTGAGTCTATTTGACTTGCTCCTCATTTCCCATTGGTTGGCCTATCGCTAACCTCCCTCATAGAAAACCAACAACTTTAACCTCAAAGAAAACCCCGAGTCTGTTTAGGTCCTTTCCGGTTCCACTTCCGAGATTTTCCGACCCCTGAAGTGTGAAGTGACCAAGCCTTCCGCCCATGGGCTTCCTTTCTCTCCCGACCACCTCGAATTTGCTTAAGAAGAAGCCAGCTTTCTTGATCACTTGAGTGACATATAGACTCAAGGAGGAGTCGCAGCCTCAGGCCTCCTGATTCCTGTTTAAGTTCCTGTTTTACGCTCTTTTGTGATACTTTCATGGATGCACAAGAGGAGTTGTAGATTAAGTGATGGCCTCCTTAGTGAGGTTCCACCTCAGTGAGTGAATGATTTTAATTAAAGAGTGATTAATGTAATCATAGGACTCTAGACTCTGGATGCACTATGTCCTCAGTGTCTCAGAAATTCCTTTGCACAGCCCTTAGACCAAAAGGAAAACTTAAGTTTCTAATTATTAAGTAGGTAAAGTCAAATAATTTAAGAAGTATTTATGACCCTACAACTTAGCAGACATTTGAATCAATAATGTCATTGAAAGACATACATTGAAAGAAATAATCCTTATTTCCTCCGTTGTTAAATAATCATTACTGTTGACAATGGCATGTGGTTATGTGACTGTTGAGCGCTGCACAACTTCCCAAACTTTAGGCTAAGCATAGCTGCTGCCTTGCTCATTTTCTATTCCACATTGATTTTCACAAGGCATTTGCTTTTTATCATCACCACCATGAGAGCTCAGCTTCACAAAGACATACCATGAAAAGGGATGCAGTGTGATTTACTGTTGAAACTGTGAGCTACTTCCAGCTAGTATTTTTCACTGTTACCTGAGAGACATTGCTGTATTTCCCTCAAAAATTAAAAAAATTTCTGCTGCAGCATCCCCAGAGCACCTGCATACCCAGTTGGGAACCACAAGTCTGATGGCATGCAGTTCTCAGAAGTGTCCAGTCTTGTTTTGTTTTTCCAACAGTTAAGATGTTTCACATAATCCTATGCTAGGTGGAGTAGGAGATGCAATTGTTTTATACTTGCTAGTCAACACAGTGGTTTAACATTAATACATCACTACCATTCCATGAGGTGGCTGGTTCTTATTTTCCCAATCCCACTCATGGAAAGCAGGGGCTCATGGACCTCCTTTCCCTGCTTAAATGGTTAATGTGTGGTGCGCAGGAAAAGGTCATACTCAGGCCTTTAACCGTGGCTCCCAGGTTGTTTTCTCCAACCATATTTGATCTGTGGTTCTGTGGAGTTCAAAAACAAAATGGGAAGTCACTTTTGTGTAGCCAATTACAGCTGTGGACTGCCTCTGCCAAAAAGATCAGCCCTTGGCTTTAAGTAGCAGTTGCACAGACTAGGAGGGAACACATACAGCTTAATATCCCTTCATGTTAAAATTGCTTATGTGGAGTTGACTAGAGGCTTCATTGATAATCAGTGGTAAAGCTCAAGTAACTTTCTTTTAGGTCACATTAAAGTGAATCTGGCATCTGCTACCAGGGAGATGGTGATTCTGTTCTATCCTGCTCTCAGTTGCCTAAAAGATTATACGTGGAGGCTTTTTTTTAAGTTCTGAAGCATGCCTATTAAATAATGGTTGAAGAACCTGAGAATATGTAGCAAGCAGCAACAGAGCTTTGGGAGGAAGGATGTGAATAGCTATTTTTATATTTCAGCCTCCCAAATATTTGTAAGAGAAGTTAGACTTTTCCTGTTTAGCCCCAAATGACAGAGTTAGTACTCTTAAGTATGCTTAGTAACAACAAAAAAGTAAAAATAATTTGCAGTGGTCGCACCTACTCCAGGAGGCATCGAACTGCTGCCATTGCAAACCTTTGTGAAAATGCTAAAAGGGACATCAGGTTGTGTAACCCGGCTCCTAAAGTCCTTTCATCATGTTTTTCTAACTTTCTAACTCTTATCTTAGTCACTGAGCAAAGGCTTTTTACACGGTTTTACATTCAGTTTGCTGTCTCGCCAAATGCATTTCTTTCTCAAGTTGGTAGAATGAGATGTCAGGTAGCACTTCAGTTTTCTGTTTGGAACAGGTATCTTTGTGGGTAGGGACCATCTAGGAGCAGTTGAAGTTCTTACTGGGCAAATCTTTGAGTGTCCATTCTAGCTGATGCATGAAGTCCAATGTGGGCGTGGCCAGTAGACCTCTGGGACATCCAGAAAAATCTTTTACTTTGTGTTTATTCTGTGTGTGTGGCAGTGGGGGGCTGCGGGGCTGTTTAAGTGATCCAAGAGCTTACCTGTAAATTCCCCAAATCAAGCATCAGCTTACCAATTCAGAATGTACAGTCACTCAGTCCTGAGATGCTAGTCTTTGGTTCATGTTGCTGTGTTTTCTGGTCTGCACTCTGAAGAAGCACTTCACTATCATGAATACCCCTCTGCTTTAGACCCCACAGATTTATACTGGCTCCTCTTCCCAGACAACCTGAGGACCTGGGAAAGCTTGGCCGCCATCTTGGATTCCTTGTGGAAAGAACCGCTCCTAGGCAGGGGCTGATCTTCTCGCCCCCTTGAGGGCTGTGCTTGCAGGGCTCAGCGAGGGGAGACTTCCGCTCCCTGACTCCCATCCTAAATCCTCTGCCTTGGCTGCCCTTCAAACACAGCTTCCTTTTCTGGGGTGGATGTAGAGAAGTCTTTTTTTCTTTCCTCTTACCCCAGCCCTCTTTCTGCACGTTCTCATGCCCTGCCAATTTCCTTTCCCTTCTGTAAAAGCAGATTTTACAGAAAATTCCCTTGCCAGCCCTCGGTTGTATATGATGTACCATAAAGCAAAAGGAGGTCTGTGCTGGCTTTCTGATTTATTGGAAAGATATTTCCGAAGACCCCTGTAACTAGCCTGACTGCCTTTATCATTCAGCAGGGCACACGTACCCCTGAGGAGTTTCTGCAGATGCCTCCCACTGAGCAGAGTGATTACAAATAGGCTGTGTTTTAAGTTAGTTTTCTGTTGTGTGTTTCATCTGAGAAGTTGGCAAATACTTGAAAGCCACAAGCTCCTGTTTTCTGAAAGCTTCTTTGCACATGAGCATAAAATGTATGTATTGAATTTGGAGATCATCCAGTAACTGTCCTTTTAATGCAGCGGAATGTAGATTACAGCTGTTTCCTCTGGAAAGATGTACATACTTCTGATTTCCCTCTCTTTTCTCACAGAGTGTCTCCTCTGCAGAAGTCTGAGATAGTGGATGTGGTGAAGAAGCGGGTGAAGGCCATCACCCTCGCCATCGGAGACGGCGCCAACGATGTCGGGATGATCCAGACAGCCCACGTGGGTGTGGGAATCAGTGGGAATGAAGGCATGCAGGCCACCAACAACTCGGATTACGCCATCGCACAGGTCAGCAGTTTGGGCGTCCAGCCGCCCCATCCTGTTGAGAGATGGTAGCTGGGCGTGAGGACCTGGCGTTTAAGCTTCAGTGCAGCCCCAAACCTCTGCTGCTCCTCTTGAGGTTGCTGTCTAGATGAAAACCCGGGGATATTCGGATTTCTCTGTGGTTGTGATCTTGTGCAGTTTGGAGGCCCTGTCCTGCTGGTGGGTTTTCTTTGGCCAGCTGTGGGGTTGGCCAAGCTGCTCTGTGATCCAGGCAAGGTGCTGCTCCTATCAGACAGGTCCCTGATCTTGCCAATAATAACCTCTCACCCTCAGCTTCTGCATCTGCTGCATTGCTTTTCCTGCTGCGTCACCTGCTGAAGCACAGCTGTGCTCATGACAGCCTTTCTCTGTAATCCCGCTCTGGTCTCACCCCTGCCAAAGGTGCTGGGGCACCCCCTGGTTAGGTGCTTAAGATCAGGGGCGAGCAGTGATTTACAGCTGTCGTCTTCCCTGTAGTTGTGACAGGGGTGCTGCCCAGGACCACGCCCGTGAGGTGAATTGCCACGAGCATGAGCTGGGTTTGGGCCGTAATGACCCGTGGTCAGTAGCAAACAGCCTCCTGAAGTTAGGCCAAGTCCAGTCCATTCCTCTCTGCTCTGAGCCTCGCATGCCAGGGCTCCTGATGTGCTGTACTGCACTGCTGGCCTGAGGATGAAAGAAAGCTCCACTCCGCAGTGATAGCCCAAAGGTGAGGGAAGATAGCCGATTTCCTGACCTGTAGGGTGCATATCTGAGACCACCTTTGCAAAATGATGACGGAGACCGTGGAAGAGATCGAACTTAACCGACTCCATCTTGCTTCTAACCTCCAAGCTGTCCTTGTTCATTCCTGGGCGTAAGCTGAACTAACTTTGAGAGAAACTTAGTTTATCGTTTAAACAAAGATGGTAACAGCCCTTTCCCAAAGCAGACCTTCCCCTTGCCTGGGGACTAGACTGACATTAACCACAAGATTTGAAATGATGGCTTAGGAGTCGTGCAGTTGGAGGCTACAAGATTCTGACCCTCTTAAACTGCTCCTAAGATCAGGGCTTGAGACATTTTGCAGACCCTGCACTTGATGGATCAGCTGGCACCACCCAGATCCGTAAACTGGCTCATCTAATCTTGTAGCTCCCACCACCCAGGAACTGACTGAGCACAGGAAGACAGCTTTGGACTCCTGATGATTTCTTCCCTGACCAATCAGCGTTCCTGGTTCACTGGCTACCCCCATCCAAGTTTTCCTTAAAAGCTCCCTGAATGCTCAGGGAGACTGATTAGAGTAACAATAAAGCTCCAGTCTGCCTCACATTCAGCTCTGCATGAATTATTCTTCATTGCAATTCCTCTGTCTTGATGAATCGACTGTGTCTAGGCAACGGGCAAGGTGAACCCGTTGGGTGGTTACATATCTAGATCGTTGGGCCTGCTGGATCATCCAGAAAACCTGGACATCACAGTGAACCTAGGGCATGTCCCTCTGTCTCCAGATTGCGACACATCGTGAGTAGATGCTTGCTCATCGGCTGGGTAGCAGGAATCCCCTTGTGTTTCTGCGGTGTTGAGGTGTTTGAAGAATGTGTTCACCTCAGTCACACGAACACAAGGAAAAATGGCTATCCACCCCTTCCAGCTGAAATCAGGGGCTGCATATAAAATGTGAACGAGCTTCCTATAGCCCCAGGGCTTCAGACCAATCCTCTGCAGCTCTGGGGCTCCACCTCCCCAAAGTGGGGGCTGTGTGTTAGAACACCTCTTAGGTTTCTTCTCAGCTTGCAGTTCTGCAGATGCAGGGAGGAATTACAAAATCCTCCTGGCTCTGAAAAGTGCATGCAATCAATCTTCTTCCTTTGCCGATTTCAAATAAATCCTCAAGATAATTTCTGAAGTAGGTAAGAGAAGGAATCCTGACTTTATAGGTGGGAAAACTGGGGTTCCTTCATATCAGGTGACTTACTTCAGGTCCAAGCAAGCGAGCGTCTTGGGGTCAGAAAGCAACGGACCTGAGTGTGAACTTGGGGGCCGGCCCCACACACACCTGCCTGTTTACTTTCCTGAGTCAAATGCTTTGAGGCCTGTGGGACTCGCACTTCCTGTAGTCTGTCAGCAACCATAGATGTTATACACCCCAGCATTATTAAATACTTGAGTTATAACATCATATGGCTGGAAGGGATCTTAAGAGGTTTCCTAGGAGTTCCAGGCAAATATTTGTCTGTCTTTTTCTTTAAAATGTCTAGGGAAGGGAGATCCCATGACCTGCTTTATTGAAACTGCATACGAATAGGATGTGTTATCCAGAGCAATTGCTCTCTTCAAATTAAAAGTGTGAAAGAAGGGTGGAGCAGGGAATGAGGCTCTAAAACGCCACTGGGGGTTTTCCTGCCCCTCCAGCATCATAGTCACCTCTGCCAAAGGAACTGACGCAGCCCGCATGTGTCTGTGCACCCTCATTTCTCCTGTCCATGGTCCTATTGCCGATTAGGCAGGGGTGCTGTTACTTCAGGGCAGGTTCCTGCTAACCTCACACCCTTTCCACCAACCACCATGCTGCCTCTACCTTAATCACCAAGCCAGAAAAGCCACAGCTTGATGAATTTCTTTGCCACTCTTGAAATGGTAAACATCTCTGGCTGTTTATCACCTTGGGCTTTATCTGTTCATTTTAATGTGGATGCATTTTTTTTATTACGCTTTGGAGGAAGTACCCTGTAGGGTTATTATACTCAGAAGGAAAACAATTTTAGCTCAAAGGCTTACCTTGGGAAAGTTGTGAAGCAGGCCAAGCTCTGGTTCTATTTCTTCCCTGCCTGCCTCATGCTTTTATGCACATGGGCCGCCTGAGACTGAGCGCCGTCCTTTTCCAGCTGCCTCGTCCTGGGCAGCCTTGCTGCCGTCCCTGCGTCATGGTGCTCCCCTAACCCTCGGCTTTCCCTTCTCCTCGGGAGAATCGTTCCTGCCCCCTGCCCTCCTAATGTTTTCGGAACGACCCCATGAAGACAGCATTTTGATTTAGAATATATCTTTTTTTTCCCCCTGAAAACAAATCACTGTAGCGCTCAAGTCGAGGCATTCCGGACGACTCAAGCAGATGGTTTCTGTGCCCACTGAAGTTTAACATCAGGGGGTCCCGGTCAAATACAAACTTCCTTTTTATTTGTTTAGCCGGTTATTTTATGATTTCCCATTCCCCTATGGAATCCTTAATGAGCCTTTATAGGGAGTTTTATTTTTCCATGTGCACCTACTTCTGCCACTTTGAAGCGGTGATTTAGATTCCGAGTGCGTGGTGAGCCCTGCGCCTTCCTCACTCCTGGAAGGACACACGGAGCTGCGACCCGCCTAGGATGGAGTCCTCCTTTCTTTAGTGCTAATGGGGATTATTATGCAGTGTCCTCCTGAAAATATTTTGTTTAAGTATTGTATTGTCAGTCTGGTCATTTCTTTTCTATCGAGAGTGACATTTAATTTATTTATTTGTTTTCTTTTCTGTTTTTTTTTTCCCCCCCAAGAATTTCACTCTTGTTGCCCAGGCTGGAGTGCAGTGGCGGGATCTCGGCTAACTGCAGTGTCCGCCTCCTGGGTTCAAGTGCTTCTCTTGCCTCAGCCTCCCGAGTAGCTGGGATTACAGGCACCCACCACCACGCCTGACTACTTTTTGGATTTTTAGTAGAAACGGGGTTTCTGTTGGCCAGACTGGTCTTGAACTCCTGGCCTCAGGTGATCCGCCCACCTTGGCCTCCCAAAGTGCTGGGATTACAGGTGTGAACCGCTGCGCCCAGCCGAGAGTTACATTTAATTTCAAAAGTCATCTAAAATTAATAAGAAGTGTATGACTGCAAAAGAATTTCTAATGTTCTGGGGCATTCTCAATATAGCCTGCTTGTCTCTCCTAGTAGTGTAATAGGGTTCAGGCTTGTGGACTTACTGACACTCTGACTTAGAACAGGAGGCATTAAGGTTTTCCTGCAAGGGAACCAAGAAGGAACTCAAATCCAGGGTAAGGCATATCAAATGTGTAGAAGCATGATGTAAACAGGATTGCCCCTAACGGCACATTTATGCCAGAGCAGGACACCATGCACCAGACCAGAGAAACTCGTTTGCCTCCCTCCAGCGCAAGGTTTACACTTTTTGGGACCTTTTTGAAACGGCACACAGAAGGCAAAGCCAGGCTAAGGGGTGGCTGAGGAGATACGATCCAAGTGGTGTCCAGAGACCCCCTCCCCCAGTGAGGATTCCTGGGTGTTACTGGAATATCTATGGCTCCAACTCAAACCACAGGAGCCATCACATCACTCCCAGCTTGGGACCCACCAGCCGCCCCTGACTGCATAGCACTCTGGCCAGAGGTGCTCTGTACTGGGTGGAGGCAAAAAGAGAGAAGACAAAATGGGTCAAGAAGTGGAGGCAAAGTGTGTGTGTGTCTTAGTATATCTGTGTGTACATGTGTATTTGTGTGAGTATCTGTGTGTGTGTGTCTGTGTGTATGTGTGTCTCTGTATCTCTGTCCTGTGTGCCTCTATCTCTGTGTCTAGGTATGTGTGTCTGCCTGTATGTGTCTGTTTATCTGTGCCTGTATGTGTCTCTGTGTATCTTTGTGTGTATATCCGTGTGTATCTATATGTGTGTGTAACTTTTTAACCTATGCAGTTGTTAGTGGAAGTAGTGTGTGTGCACCTGTGTGTACCTTTCCTTTAAACAAGACTCTATTGTGTGAGTGTCCCTGTCCCTTGTTCTTTTTGTCACTGAAAAATCTGTGATTGCTTAGACTTTCACTGTACTTTTCTTTCAGTTTAGTAGTTCAACTTTGTTTAATAATTAATCCCTATTGAAACACTATTCACAATAGCAAAGACATGGAACCAACCCAAATGCGCATCCATGCTGGACTGGATAAAGAAAATGCAGTACACATACACCACGGAATACTATGCAGCCATAAAAAGGAACGAGATCACGTCCTTTGCAGAGACTTGGATGGAGCTGGAAACCATTATCCTCAGCAAACTAACATAGGAACAGAAAACCAAACACCACGTGTCCTCACTTATAAGTGGGAGCTGAACGATGAGAACACATGGACACAGGGAGGGGAACAACGTGCACTGGGGCCTGTTGGGGAGGCAGGGGGAGGGAGAGCATCAGAATAAATAGCTAATGCATCCGGACCTTAAAACCTAGGTGATGGATTGATAACTGCAGCAAACCAACATGGCACATGTTTACCTGTGTAATAAACCTGCACATCCTGCACATGTATTCTGGAACTTAAAATTAAATTACCAAAAAGCATTTGTTTAAATAGAATTTCATAACAATAACAATTAGAAGTCCAGCAGTATGTTTCGGGAAAATGATAATTATGTAGATTTAAGAGAGGATTTTAGTTGTTCTCACTGGGCCTGAAAGCTCTGTCTTCAGAGAATGGTTTTCTGAGATTCCTGCAGAATCTTGCTTCCTCTACCTACATCATCTGACTTCTGTTCGTAAGGACATTCTGTTTGTGACTTTTATTCCTCAATGATGGGCTCTTCTGAACTTTGTAATTTTCCTTTTTCAGTTTTCCTACTTAGAGAAGCTTCTGTTGGTTCATGGAGCCTGGAGCTACAACCGGGTGACCAAGTGCATCTTGTACTGCTTCTATAAGAACGTGGTCCTGTATATTATTGAGGTAAGAAGGAGTATTTTTTTTTTTCCTTGAAGGGAAAGATCTTTTCAGAGGATATCTTGAGGTATTTAAAGTCATTTCAAGAGAGGGTTTTGTTCTTGTAAAATTAAAAGATGCTGCTGTGACTCTCTATAGCCTGGGTCACATGTGAGCTCCCGTGAAGCTGGGCTCACCATCCTGGTCTAGATCCTCATGCTGGATGACCAAAGCGGGCATCTGAAGCCTTTTTGCCCTACTCAGACGTGCCTTCCTCCCTAGCTCTCCTCCTGTGCTCCTCTTTGCCATGCCTATTCCTCTGTGTCCTTGGCTGGGGTAGAATCTTGCTGACACTCACACCCCTTCCAGAGGGATCAGATCCTAGCACCAGAGGCCTACACCTCGCCAGGTGAACTCTGAGGTGTTGCTGGAATGAACGGGGGAGCCTGATTTCTGCCTTATTTCTCACAGACTCTGCAAGTTTTCTAGCATCCATTCACTGCTCCTGGGATACTTGGACACTGGCTCTTATGTGGGAAGGGTGTGGGAGTGAGGGGACGATGGGGCGTAAACCGGCGAGGTCATTGACAGTATTGCAGTGAGTTCACATTCTGTTGTCAGACAATTATCCAAGATGCTGATTCCGTTACCAGTAAAACAAACGTGCTTGCTAGAGGAGTGGGCCCAGGAAGAAGTGGAAAAGTCACTTTATGTTTGCTATTCGTGGGATTACAGCCCTGCTATAAAGGGGTGGCTTTTGAGGCCATCATGACTAATCGATTTCCAAATATGTTTGTCTATGGAGGAAGGCAATGTTAATTGTTTATGGTGTTTTGATGCTTCATTCTACTATGGGTTATTTTATGTCTGATTTCTTGACTCTTAGTAAAAATAATAACCAAGGAAGAAATCCACTTTTTCTGATGTAAGCTCTGACAATACTCAGTTCAAATAACTAGTAATAACAAGCGCCTTGCTAAGGTAGCTGTAACTAACAACTTCTTTACTAGGTTTTCTAATCTTTCCTACTCAGTCATTCAGGTCAAACATGTAAGTTCTTGTCACACATCTGGTAACTAAACTACTAAGGAGTGATTTCCCCAAATTGCGCAGGTTGTTCACAGCCCAAGACAACCCGGCCAAAAGAGTAAATGAAGCAGAAACATAACCTGTGCTGCCTCATTCTTCAGTTGCCCAGAGTCCAACTGGAAACAGCAATGCATTTTTCTAAGTTGCACAAGGGCCAGCCTATTCGCCATGATGTGTGCATTTGCAGAGAGGATGCCTCTTCTAGTTCACACAAAAGCCCCTTGTGGGCTGAGGAGCAGACTTGATTCTTTTTTTTTTTTTTTTTTTGTGAGACGGAGTCTTGCTCTGTTGCCCAGGCTGGAGTGCAGTGGCACGATCTTGGCTCACTCCAAGCTCTGCCTCCCGGGTTCATGCCATTCTCCTGCCTCAGCCTCCCAAGTAGCTGGGACTACAGGTGTCCGCCACCACGCCCAACTAATTTTTTGTATTTTTAGTAGAGATAGGGTTTCACTGTGTTACCCAGGATGGTCTTAATCTCCTGACCTCGTGATTCACCCACCTCGGCCTCCTTAAGTGCTAGGTTTACAGGCCTGAGCCGCCGAGCAGCCTTGATTCTTAAAGAATGTTCCAAGCAATCAAAAGGGATCTGGTTAAAGTCCTGAAACTAACCCGTTCTTCCTAATTTGAATCTTTTGTGGGAGGTGTCCTGTCTGCTTAAGTGTTATTTCCCTAGGAGGAAAATATACAGTAGAGGCTTGAGAGATTTGGTGATATAATTGACATTTTATTCGGTGTAATGAGGTTAAAATCAATAATTTAAAAAATTATTCATAATTTGCCTGCTGGTCTTGTGCTGTAATATTCAATACTCAGTTCACTCTGGGTAAGAACTTGTAGATGTTGGTGTGAGAGCTTTAGTGGTTTCTCTTTATTTTTACAATTCCCTTTTGGTACTTAAAATTCCCCTTTGGTACTTTGTTCCCCTCCTGCTCCCACATGTTTTTGCATCTGTGGTAGGAGTCACTCCTCAACGTCACTTAGGGTCATGGACAATAGTGCAAAGAGGTATCGTAGGGTCATGGACCATCGTGTAAAGGGGTATTGGAATCCCCGTTTCTTCGTGCTATCCCAGGCTTCCCAGCATTTTGTGCTCCCGTAATTGCTGGCTTTCACGGTTTCTTAATAATCTGGTTTTCTTCACAATCAGCACATTACAGATAGTCTGGACTTCTTATCAAGACATTCTGCATGGAGCTCCCAACCCTTTCACTTTTCAGATCGTCCCCTAGGCCCCCTTCTTAGTCATTTACACCTACTATCTTGATGGTGGTTTTTTTTTTTTTTCCCCCTTTTTTTGACTTCAAGTGGGCTGAGTCTGAGAAAAGTGCAATTTTAGTCTGCCTGAAAAATCCTATTTGGAAGGAGGCCCTGAAAGTGCCACATGCATGCCTCAAATTAATATTTCAGTTGTAGCTGAGCAGCAGTTGTTAAATGGTCTTTTGTAAACAGCCTTTTAAACATTCTTTATCAAGTTAAAGAAAATGTAAAAGTCTCCACCACTCCATGCCTAGTTTTCTGTTTAGTATTTCTCAGGGATATTAATTTGAAAACTGAGAAAGAAAAGTCCTTGACCGAGCCCATGTGGTTGGAGCATTGACTCAGGCAAAGCCTACCTACCACTGCCAAATTACTTCCTTGGCATCAACATGCACTTCAACTATAGTTTTAAAAATAGGAAAGTACTACTTACTTGCATGCCATTTTAGTGTGTTGGGAACTGTAAGATCAAAGATGATTGTAAGTTGATTTGCTTATTTGCAAAGAATACTTTTTTGTTCTAAAGGCAACCCTTATAATTAATTACTTAAGTGAGAATAAATTAAACACATTACTTGTTTATCTTAAATGGTTTTCTTGTAACTCAAGGAGCGATTCTTTACAATAGCCAATATGTTGTCATCTCAAATGCCCTATAAGATACATAACTACTAATCACTTAAAAATGTAGTCTAAAGGCAATTTGACAAATTAAAAAAAGAAACCTACGCATGTGTGCATGCACACACACATTTTATGGCCTTAGCCATTATTATGAGGATCATTATATATAGGACTTGAATTCCCAATAAAGATTGTAGGGAAGAACTGTAAGCCTGTGATGTAATGCAGTCTACTCAGTTGGCACACTAACCTATAAAAGTGGATTTTTCTGTATAAGGAACACATGGATATATTCACGTTGCTATATGGAACACAAACTGAAAGTTCCCTCCACTCTCACCCCCAAGCCTCCTTCCATATTATCTGTCCTGACCTTTCTCTCTGTAGGTATGGAGATATTTATGTATACAAACAAATCAAGGATTTTAGATAAATGTCATCATGCTGTGCAGAGCCTCCTGCAACTCATTTCACCTGACAACGTATTCTGGAGAGCATTCCCAGTTACTATGTATAGACCCAGGGCATGCCATTTCACAGAGGGATTTCCTGCAATCTATTCAGCCATTCCCTGCACTGATAAACATTCCGCTTCTCTCCAGCTTCAAACCCCAAAAGCCTTGTGGAATAACAGCTTTCTCACTAGCTCATAAATATTCCACCCAAATGAAATTGATCAAGTTAGACCGTTTTTACCACAGTGCCTTGAACATAACACATGCTTATGTATTTTTACTTATACAACAAGTTACTTGTTGCTAACAAATCTTATTTAATGCTTCTTGAGTGTGCCACATAAAATTCAAGCCAAAATAACTATTGGTTCGAGTGATTTAAAAAATAGGAACAAAATTATGCCATACATGGTTTCGTGTTAGCCCTATTTGTAGGTAAAACTGAAAATACTACAATCTGTACGTCCATCCCCCTGCGACTGCCTTCATTTAGTACTGTTTTCCTGGTGGATTACAAAAATCGCTAGTTTCACTTCCTTGACCATCTCTGCTGCAGTTAGGATACGATTTCTGAAACATACATCTGATCAATTCCAGTGTCTGGCACAACGTCTGGAATGGAGGTGCTCGAAAATGCTGGCAATGAAAGAGTGATGAATGCTGCTGCGCCCTGCAGCCCCTTCCCAGGCTCCCTGTGCCTTCTCATGAAATGCCCATCTCAGTCGCGTCACCTTCCCCTCTGTTGTCTGGGTTCCAACTGTCACCAGCCTTCTCTGCCACTGTATCCTCCTCACTTTGTTTGTAATCAGTGTTACTGAAGTATGATTGATGTACAGCAAGATACACACTTTTTAAGTGTTCCTTTCTATGAATTAAAACTGGGTTTTTATCATTAGAAACAGACTGGGGATTTTGTCTGTCTCCCATAGACGGTGACAAGAATGTCTCAGAGAGCTCTGAAGACAGATGGCAGTGATGGTTGCACCAGGCTGGGCACTAGAACTGCAGTGCAAGTGTCCACATGGGACCATACACTTAAAAATGGCCAAGGCGGCAGACTTTGTTATCTATATTTTACAACCATTTTAAGATGCTAAAAAAAAAAAAGAAAAATGTCACAGACACTTGGCTGCTTTCATCGCCTTGAGAGAGACAAAAATGTATAAGGACAGACTGTATGCTTTGGCGAGCTTATTGAAGATTTGGAAAACAAATTTTACACATAGTTTTGTTCTACATTAAACTAATTAAATGCTACGTTTCATGGTCGTGGCCAGATGGACCATATTTCTCAGAAGGTAAAATCCTGTCGTTGTCTAGAATGCTCAGAGCTTCAGAGCCTTGCAGGGCAGCCAACTGGGAGTGGGATTGGGGTGGGCAGGGCAGGAGGGCGGAATGTAATTCCCTGTGTCTGCACTGGGGGTGGGAATGGGATGAAATTAGCAAAAGCAAGGAGATAGAGCTGGGTAAGGATATGTGAGTGACCAGGGAAGGGCATCTGAATGGCTCATTTGGAGTTGTATTGCCATTAGAAGCTGGGATTCCTTTTTTTCCTTCTCTTTTTGCAATAATCAAATTACATAGTAAATGTGATTTAGGAAA